ATTCTCTACAGTAAATGTTACACTGAAAATCCCGACTCACATTTATTGAAATTTGGTACAAACGTTTAAACCTACGTTTGTTCGAATGAGTTCACGAATCAATGTGATCAGATCATGGGAACGGGGTCTTATGGAGTAAAAATAGGGTTTTCTCACTTTATGACCCTCAAAAACATAAAATGTCCCAATTTCTCTCAAAATCATTTTGAAGAACTTAAAAATAATAATTTGGTATATCGAAGTGTTTATTTACGGCTATTGTAGGCCTCTCACAACATTTGTACAAGTTTATCGGTGTATCCACCCAAGGCAACGCTAGTTCCGAGGATACAAATCAGCTTAAGTTAGGTTTTCTTGTTTATAATTAAAGATGAAAATAAAATATGATGCAAAAGAACCCAACCAATTCAACCTCTAATCACTGTCTCCAAAAAACACTGTCCAAAATTTCTCAACAATTGAAATATTTTATGTTTCTTAAATGTATATCTTTGCCCCAGTAAACGTCACTCAAAAGATTTTCCTCTTTTTACACCTCAATCCTTTATACTTTAAGTAAACTAGTTTTAGAACATTAAATATATTTTTGATAGCTTCGATAGGAGACTAACTATGTTTTACTGGTAGCCTTATCCATTTGTTATTTCAGATGATTTTGAAAGAGCAATGAAAAATGTAGTACGGCTCCAAAAAGGGGAAGAAAACTGTGACCGAGTCCGAAGGGGAACCCAAAGGGAAGGGCCATTCCCGTAATCGCAAGTGGTCCTCTTCCCACTTCTTCACTAACAAGAAAACCTAACTTAAGCTGATTTGTATCCTCGGAACTAGCGTTGCCTTGGGTGGATACACCGATAAACTTGTACAAATGTTGTGAGAGGCCTACAATAGCCGTAAATAAACACTTCGATATACCAAATTATTATTTTTAAGTTCTTCAAAATGATTTTGAGAGAAATTGGGACATTTTATGTTTTTGAGGGTCATAAAGTGAGAAAACCCTATTTTTACTCCATAAGACCCCGTTCCCATGATCTGATCACATTGATTCGTGAACTCATTCGAACAAACGTAGGTTTAAACGTTTGTACCAAATTTCAATAAATGTGAGTCGGGATTTTCAGTGTAACATTTACTGTAGAGAATCTGGGTGACTGGGTGATACTACTTGTAATTGGTTCAGCATGACTGTGGACTAAGATAATGGAAGAGTGGTATGGATGCATGAGGATTGTGACAAGGAAATATATAAACTTATTAATAGTATCTATGAGGTTGAGAAATTAAGAAGGACTGTTAACTGTATTTTAAAGGATTTTACCCTGAGGTTGATCGTGCCCATTGCCGTTAACACCTTAAGCCAGCTTTTGATGAGCTGTGACTTTAGTAATTTATAACAAGTAAACCTTATAACTAACCCACTACCTGACTATGAACGAATTGCATTTACAACATTACTAATTAATGAACTAACACTGTAAAATGGAAACTGATAGAAGTAAGGAAATCTATCAATGAATTAATCGAATTGACAGCTCATAAGTTTAATTTATTGAACAATCTAGAACCATGTGAATTTAGATTTTGTTTCGACAAGCTGTTGTCGGCTTCTCTTAAGGAAAAGACCGACATTTTAAGTTAGAAAACCTACATCCTAAAGCCCCCTGATTTCTCCCCGGCAACCCCTAACTGAACTTAAACTACTTCATGATTGAATTTGGGTTCCCTGATAAATTAATGCAATTACTGCAAGGCTTCTCCCCCCGAAGATAGGCGCCATGCTACGAAGGTATCCAAGGCTATAGGCCTACCACCTCCGCCACTACAAAATCTACTCTGATGGGTGCTCACTTAGTTGCCAGCACATCATGGGCATCAGTGCTACTACCCCAAGGTCTACTACCGGAAATCCACGACAACCGCTAGTTTTCATAACAATAACATAACTAGTTTTATCCTAGGAAGAGGTAGTTATGGATTACTCGTGGAAGGAAGATATAAAAACAAAATTCATGGCCATAAAAAAAACATATATATAAATTGTGCTTGCAGTTATCCCCCTCTCCTTTGTTGGGTCATCAACCCAGTCAATTTTTGCAGGGCAGAAACCAAGTGAGAGTCCTTAAGGCCTCAAATTCGCTGACAAACAAAACAGGTCTCGACCATCAACGGAAGGGCAATAAAAAAAAATCATGCGGAGGTGCCAGCACGTTGGGAGCTCTAAGGTTTCACCTATTCTGAGTGGAGATGAGCCGGAACCCTAATGACACCAATCGGTTTTTGCAAACCCAACACCGCCGCGTTCCGATTTTTCATCAACCCGAAACAAAACTCCTGGTGTCAAAGGTGGGTAGGCGCTGCAACTGCAGTCAAATTTTGGTTGTTTTAGGGAAATTCACCTGCACTAACCTATTTAACCCTAGTAACCTAATCACACTACCTAGCCCAAGCGCATTCTTTTGGCGGAAGGGGGCGTGGTTGTGCCGTGCGCGTCACTTTTATATATACATACTCAGCGCGTGGGCAACAACTTACTGGCCGAAGCATATATCAGCAGCCAATGGAATAGAGGAAAAAAGGCGATGAGCATACGAGAAATCTCCTAAGAGAAAGCGCCTGAATGCTTGCTGACAGCTCCAAATTAAAACATAAGTATTAGTGTCTAAGTAATTGCATTAATTTTTCAGGGAACCCAAATTCAATCATGAAGTAGTTTAAGTTCAGTTAGGGGTTGCCAGGGAGAAATCAGGGGGCTTTAGGATGTAGGTTTTCTAACTTAAAATGTCGGTCTTTTCCTTAAGAGAAGCCGACAACAGCTTGTCGAAACAAAATCTAAATTCACATGGTTCTAGATTGTTCAATAAATTAAACTTATGAGCTGTCAATTCGATTAATTCATTGCTAGATTTCCTTACTTCTATCAGTTTCCATTTTACAGTGTTAGTTCATTAATTAGTAATGTTGTAAATGCAATTCGTTCATAGTCAGGTAGTGGGTTAGTTATAAGGTTTACTTGTTATAAATTACTAAAGTCACAGCTCATCAAAAGCTGGCTTAAGGTGTTAACGGCAATGGGCACGATCAACCTCAGGGTAAAATCCTTTAAAATACAGTTAACAGTCCTTCTTAATTTCTCAACCTCATAGATACTATTAATAAGTTTATATATTTCCTTGTCACAATCCTCATGCATCCATACCACTCTTCCATTATCTTAGTCCACAGTCATGCTGAACCAATTACAAGTAGTATCACCCAGTCACCCAGATTCTCTACAGTAAATGTTACACTGAAAATCCCGACTCACATTTATTGAAATTTGGTACAAACGTTTAAACCTACGTTTGTTCGAATGAGTTCACGAATCAATGTGATCAGATCATGGGAACGGGGTCTTATGGAGTAAAAATAGGGTTTTCTCACTTTATGACCCTCAAAACATAAAATGTCCCAATTTCTCTCAAAATCATTTTGAAGAACTTAAAAATAATAATTTGGTATATCGAAGTGTTTATTTACGGCTATTGTAGGCCTCTCACAACATTTGTACAAGTTTATCGGTGTATCCACCCAAGGCAACGCTAGTTCCGAGGATACAAATCAGCTTAAGTTAGGTTTTCTTGTTTATAATTAAAGATGAAAATAAAATATGATGCAAAAGAACCCAACCAATTCAACCTCTAATCACTGTCTCCAAAAAACACTGTCCAAAATTTCTCAACAATTGAAATATTTTATGTTTCTTAATTGTATATCTTTGCCCCAGTAAACGTCACTCAAAAGATTTTCCTCTTTTTACACCTCAATCCTTTATACTTTAAGTAAACTAGTTTTAGAACATTAAATATATTTTTGATAGCTTCGATAGGAGACTAACTATGTTTTACTGGTAGCCTTATCCATTTGTTACTAGTTATTACTAGTTAGTTGTTACTAGTGGCCTGTAGGGGCCATAGCCCCTAATTTAGACACAGTTGTTAATATGAAGACAACTCCCCATTTTGCGGTAGTAAGACAGAAATAACTTATATCAATGAATTTGTCCCTGAATTTTAAAACAGTAAGGCCCATTTCCCGGAATCTCTTTTTGTGTAGCGGAAAGCGACGCAAAAGCCATTGCACTGTTGTATTGCCTTAAGTTTTTTACGAAGTTAGAATCATGTTAAGAGGACATAGATTGTGATAAACAACACTCAACTCATTTTCCAGCGTTCTTCTGAAGGCAGGTTGTAAACCAGGTTGTGGATTTCTTTCATAGTTAGGCCTTACATGACGTTCTCTTTCAGCATTTCTTGTGTCAGTTGAATTCCTGGATACTCTTCCAGGTCTTGCAGGTCTACCCCCTCCTACTCTGTCTAGTAACTAAAAACTATAACCATTATAAAAACGGAAAACAAAATAAATTCCTGGTTACTCTTCTACGTCTTGCAGATCTTCCCATACCCATAGTCTATCTATCTATCATATCTACCCATAGTTCTGTCTAGTAACTTCACTCATTATAAAAACGGAAAACAGAAAATTTTGTAAATACATTTCATTTTGAAACATTATTTACCAACATTGACTTTCGGAATAAATGTAAACATTGCAAATAAATGTAAACAGTGCAAATAAAAACGGAAAACAGAAAATTTTGTAAATACATTTCATTTTGAAACATTATTTACCAACATTGACTTTCGGAATAAATGGATAGCCTAGGGTTCACTACGATACTCGGACAGAATACGATTGAATCGATCTATCGTGATTCTGCGATATTTCTTTCTTACTGAAATCGAATCGGTTCTATGACGACGGAATCATCGTATCCTATGTTTGTTTACGTTTACGTGTTGTTATGTTGTTATTGTTGACATTGTCATTAATTTGTGTGACTGTGACTTAGTTAATAGTTATTAGTTGTTGGAGGTGGCCAGGTACACGATACACGTAAATTAGATTTTAAAATGGAATTAATTTTAAAAAAGATGGAAGCTTAACAGATTTAAATTGTTACACGTCAAGGAAATTTCGGGCTATGTAAGGTCAAAGGAAGAATTTGACCAATTAGGTAACTTATGTTTGTCTGGCATCAAGATCAAATGGATTTGCTTTTTCCACGAGAAGTACAGGTAGAAATATGTAATTACCACGAATACTTTGAAGTATTCGTGGCTATTACCTAATAAATCCATTCATGTTATTGTCTCCTTGATTTGATAATTGACTAAAATTAAATAGATTAGATTATTAACCTCTAAGCCTAAAAAGTATTAATCAGAAGATTCTGAGGGGTGGCGGTAAGGTAATTGTACCTAATAAGGTTAACGTAGGGACTTGATGAAGATTGAAAACATTTTTAGGATTATCAGTAAGAGTTAATTGGTTTCTTAAGAACATTAAAGTTATGAAAGCTTAAGTCGCTTCCTAAGATGCTGGTTAGTTGCAATTTTTTGCAGTTGTTAGAGCGATTAAATAAATAAATAAAAAGGCCTTTATTTACGAGCGAGTTTCATAATACATGGTTTTCAAACTAACTCAAGTCACTAAATCTAAACTATCCTAATATATTTACATAAGTATATACAAACAAATTACAACAGAATAACTTAATTACAATATACATTTTGCATTTGTTTTTTTCATTGCGGCCCTGAATGTGTTGTACGATTTTGAACACTTGATCTCTTGAGGGAGGCCATTGTACCACCGCGGGCCGAAATAAGAAAAAGACTTTCTTCCAGCCTCAAGCCTCACTTTAGGAAAGTGAAGCTTGCGGTCGGAGCAAGTACTACGCAGACAGATCTCCCTCCTGTACTTCAGCCTCTCGCTGAGGTAATGAGGCTCTCCCAGCGTGAGCGCTTTGTGGACCAGGCAGCAGGTCAGCTTTCTGCACATGTCATCCATTGGGATGAGCTTAGCAGCATCTCTGTAGGAGGACACGTGTTCAAAGCGACTAAGGCCAAAAATGAACCTTATGGCAGAATTTTGAATTCCCTGAACTCTTGCCATATCCTCCTTAGAGATGCTGTTTCCATATGCAGGAAAGCAATATGTGAAGGCTGGAAGGACCAAGGGCCGCATGAGTTGCGTTTTGGCAAATTCTGGCAGGAGAGTTTTGAATCTGCTAAGACCTCTCAATCTTCCCACTGCGCGTTGGACTGCAGATGTGACGTGGTCAGAAAAAGAGAGGTCTTTGTCAAGTACAACACCAAGATTGAATTGATAGGTAGCCTACAAGTCTGTAGAGAACCTAACTTATAGCCTAGGCCTAACCTATAGGCCTAACTTGCTATCAGATGAAAATTTATAGTTTGATATTTCTATCGTAGGCCTATCAGTAGAAGTTTTCACTTGATATGACTTAAATAACTTATTTATTTAAGTTACTTATGCTTTTCAAAAAGACTCGTATACACGTGCTGTGGGGTTAACTTGGGTACGGTACTTTGGTATTATCCGGAGGCCACCCTTACACAGCGCAGTTATGTTAGGTTGGGTTTTCTTACAATACCAGATGAGTCATAAATTACTTTTGCACGCCATATCCCCTCAAGTACTTAGCCAGGTCATTGACCGGAGCATGCATCACCTGTTACCACCTGTATCAGGGGTATTTGGCGGGCGAAAGTATGACTCAATTGGTATAGTTCAATTCATAACGAAACGAGGAAAGTTTTATAAACATATTTGATAATCCAACCTAACATGACGCAGCGTGCTGTATACCTAAGTTACTTGGCGGAGTATAGCGGCAGCGACGCATTTAACTCAATCCTCCCTGACATCGCTGCCTTTTTTTCTGGGAGACAGAACTCAAAGGCCGCTAATTGTAATCATGTCAAATTTGGACGGTCAGTCAATTAAAGCAGGTTTTTTCCTATTACAGTATGTAGTTATTTTTGGACTCTCCAGTAAAAAAATCTCTCTAAAATAATTGGCCTCCGCATAATACCAAAGTACCCTAACATTTCGCTTGGCTTAGCTTTTTAAGTTGCCGGTACGGTAGTTAAAGATAATTACAAACAAGGCCTACTGTACATTATGTAAATTGTATACACAAGAGTTGATAAGTAGGCTATATCTAGTAATTGTTTTTAAACAAATAAATTTACACTTGGACCTCAATTTGTAATTGTATCCTTTTTTTGTAAGTTTTATTAGCTACTTAGGCTAACCTAAGTTAAGTTAAGTTCATTTTAAAGCTACAGCACACTGTTATAGATTGGTGGGCGATAACATTGACTAAGTTATATATACCTACTATATACAAGTTACCTGTAATGGCGATAATCTACTTAAGAATCCTCATAAGCTAACATGTAAAATCAATATTGAAATTCAATAACTTATAGGCCTACATAACTTAATGGGCTATTGATTAAACTTACTATATTTTAAGTTTATTCGATAGCTTAGGCTATATTATGTTATAAGTTTATTCCATTATGTAATACCTTAAGTAACTTAATAAGTTATTCCATCGATAATATCTTAGCTTTTCTCTTTGGAATTGTAGATTGATGTTTTAAAATTGATTGACTTAATGCTTTTTAATGTTTTTGCAGGTTCATACCCTGATCAACCGACTCTAGGCCTAGTGAGATTTCAAGTTTGCGTACCTCTAACCAACATTCGCAAAATGCATTGGAGTGTGGTCACAGATCTCTCTATTACGTAATAAATAAATCCAGCGGTGAACAGGTAAGACATTTATTTGTTTAAATTGTTTATTTATAGTAGTAACATTTTCTATACAGCCTCTGATCCCATGTAACTTAGGGGTTGTCATATTAGTGGTGGTTCTAGATTAGAACGTTGTGAAGGGCTAACAGGGGTGATTAACATTAGGAGGGGGTTTCAGGGGTTCCCCTTAAGAAAATCTGCTATTTTTATTTTTTTTTAACTGTGTTTACGTCTAGAACTGTGTTCCAAAACTTCTGTCACCTATTTATGACAAAATTTATGTTTAAACTTATATTTCCAGAGTCAGATTCTAATGGGGAGGGCTCTTGCTTCTATAGCCCTCCACCCCTTGGAACCGCCCACTGCATTATAGTATTTTAATGTGGGAAAAATTGAGAATTAATTTAGTTGGAAGATAAGATATAACGGGACAGCAAAATTGGTAGAATATGCATATAAGCTTTAACAAATTTCATGCAAATATATTTGATTAAGGTAATGTGATCATAAATAAAAGCATCTGCCACTATTTAAAATTAAAATTAGGCTTAGGCCTAATACAGATAAACCATTGCTGTTGCTAAAAGTCTAATACAGATAAACCATTGCTGTTGCTAAAAGTCTAATACAGATAAACCATTGCTGTTGCTAAAATAAACCTGCATTAGTCTTGATTTTAAAATAGGTATGGGTTATATTTTTTGTAAACCATAAGCTGTCGTTGTTCATAAAAAAATGAAGTTGAAACTGTTAATTACTAAGAAAACCATGATTTGAGGTAGAAATTAATCTAGTCAAAAGGTACATTTTAATTAAATTATGTTAATTTATAAAACTGCTATCTAACTCGTACTTAAATACAAGTGAATAAAATGTTGTGGATGTTCAATGAATTTTAGCATTAGTTTGTCTGCAAATGTTAATTTCTCGAGAACATGCGCCATTCAACCCAAATAGACACGTTAAAGTTTTAACATTGCATTCTAGCCGAGGAGAATTTATTGTTCATTCATCCTACACTAGCCTCCTTATTTAAATAACATGTAAAGTTTCTCTGTTCTAGAAGACTGAAGAAGGAACATCACAGGGGCTGTTACTTAGACCTTTCTAAAGCATTGATGAATATTTGTTTTGGCAGCAACGACTACGTTACAAGTTAAATCATCTTTCTACTGCAAGGACTCCAATCAACAAAGATTTTTAATCGATAACATATTGTATTGATGCCTTTTTCAATCTTAAAAAATGTAAAATAAAGTACTCCTGTATCCTTGTATTGCATTCTTGTGTTCTTGTCCTCTCTGTAGAGGTTATAGAGAAACTTAATGTAAATAAGTGAACACAAATGATAGAAAAACAATTTTATATAATAATAAAAACTAAATAATTAATTGAGAGCCCTCTCGATTGGGATAACCCTATTGATATTTTACTTCTTCTATCAAAACAAATACTAAAATACTCTCTTATCGTTTTGTGTTAACTATCTTTCATATATATTCTATTATAAATTACCACACAGTCAAGTATACAGTTGAAGCTTGATTACAAAGTGCACTAATCATTGTAGGCCTATCAGTCAACAAAACTTAATTGTTCACACTAAGTGGGAATATAATTATTTAAAATAAGTCTTTCCTTCAATAAAATCTTTAAAAAATATTTAATTGCCATGTAAGCTCGGTAGGTACTGAAAAGTGTAGTATACTCATCACCCATTGTTTTAAATTGTTTGTATATTGTTTTAAAATATGTATGTTTGCTGATATAGCGTTATAAGATACAGGGAAGGTAAAGTGTGTTCTTGGTAAAATGTACTTAGATTGGTATTGAATTGTACAACAAATTAAAATTAAAGTCAAATATCCATAAACAAGCCAAAATACAACCAACAAGTTTACCTAATAATCTACTTCAAAATAACAAGTTATTTTCATGTTTTTTTTCAACTTACTGTTAACCATTTAGCTATCTGCAAAATAGGTTGATAATTTTTTTTTACATCTAATTAATTATTTACAAAGATGTTTGAAGTTTTTATAAGGTCAAACATGAGGAAACCCCATTTTTACCTCTGCTTATAGTCCGATCATGCTGGTTCACGAACGGAACGCTACAACAAACGTTGTTTTACACGTTTGTAACAAATTTCATCATAATTGGATTATTTTGACTCTTAATTTTGACTTTGAATTATATGTGTATAGGCATAGACTAAACTAATGCAGCACAAGTCTAAGGGAGTAAGTTTTATTTATGGTATAGGCTATAATTTACAGTAGAACCTTGATAACAAGGCTTTTATAAGGATTATAAAATAAGTCTTGTTATCAAGGTTGACTTCTTATCGAGGTTTGCAATAACAAATTATTAGGATTAGGGGTAAAATAATTTCAAGGGGATCTATGAAAATAACCCTTGTTATCAAGGTTGACTTGTTATCGAGGTTCTACTGTATATGAATTGAACAGATGGTGCTAAAGGCTTTTTACTTGAACTGCAACTGTTACAGCAATTACAAATTAAAATTCAAACAAAAATGGGAGTTGTATTATTTTGTTTAGAATTATTATACATACACTTCTTTTCATATTTTGAGGACCATAACAAACAAAATTTAATAAGAACCGGCTGTTTTAAAAAAAATCGGATTTTTTTGTTATATAATGGGAAAGTAATTGTAACTTTTACAGGTATGGGAGTTGTACCATTTTGTTCAAAATTTAAAACACTAGGGCCTAAAGGTAACATACTAATTTTTTTATCAACTTAAAATCGTTCGGGCCGTTTTTGAGAAAATTGTATTTTTCCTGTATTCTATGGAAAATCATCGAAATTCAAATTTTTCAAAATTATAAAAATGCCTGGAGATGCCAAGGACCTACAAACAAAATGACATTAAATTGGACTTCATAGGTCTGTACACACACACAGACACGTGTGGATGTGTGCCGAAGATCTAATTAGACCTTCGGATTTAGGCCTCTTCAGCAACTGATCCAAATCGTTAAAACTGCAATTAATAGTTATTAGTTAATTCATTAAAATTCACTATTATTTTGTAGTTGCAATTTTTAATTATATAAATTCGTATTTCTTGCAATGAAATGGTATACTTTCGACACTACATACTTTTAAGTAGGCTTTGTCAGAACGTCAGAAGTCAGCAGAAACAAACTACTGCACAAGCCTACCTACAGAATCTCAATGCCTACAGTTATGTAGAGGTGGATTGAGTAGATGATTTGAATCCGATTGAAATTGAAAACTCAATACTCACAGACTCAGATCCAACAACAAATTCGAATCCGATTTTCCGATATCGATAGTGTACACAATTCAATATCGATAGTGTAATTGCAGACTCTCGATAGATCGATTCAATCGTATTCTGTCCGAGTATCGTAGTGAACCCTAGGCTATCCGGAATAAATGTAAACATTGCAAATAAATAAGTAACAGCTGATAGAATTCAGACGTTTTTCAGTCCCCATGCATTTCTTATGGTGGATATTTTACGTTATATCTCGCTTTCTGGTAACTTTATGGGAATTCTGCTATTTTTCCCGAGTCCCTGGGATCAAGACCTTTAATTTAAGACCTCTCCCACTTCTCTACGACTTACCAGATGTCCACAATTTTCTGGTAAAAATTTGGTCTTACAGAATTATATATACATACTCAGCGCGTGGGCAACAACTTACTGGCCGAAGCATATATCAGCAGCCAATGGAATAGAGGAAAAAAGGCGATGAGCATACGAGAAATCTCCTAAGAGAAAGCGCCTGAATGCTTGCTGACAGCTCCAAATTAAAACATAAGTATTAGTGTCTAAGTAATTGCATTAATTTATCAGGGAACCCAAATTCAATCATGAAGTAGTTTAAGTTCAGTTAGGGGTTGCCGGGGAGAAATCAGGGGGCTTTAGGATGTAGGTTTTCTAACTTAAAATGTCGGTCTTTTCCTTAAGAGAAGCCGACATCAGCTTGCAGAAACAAAATCTAAATTCACATGGTTCTAGATTGTTCAATAAATTAAACTTATGTGCTGTCAATTCGATTAATTCATTGCTAGATTGTCTTACTTCTATCAGTTTCCATTTTACAGTGTTAGTTCATTAATTAGTAATGTTGTAAATGCAATTCGTTCATAGTCAGGTAGTGGGTTAGTTATAAGGTTTACTTGTTATAAATTACTAAAGTCACAGCTCATCAAAAGCTGGCTTAAGGTGTTAACGGCAATGGGCACGATCAACCTCAGGGTAAAATCCTTTAAAATACAGTTAACAGTCCTTCTTAATTTCTCAACCTCATAGATATTATTAATAAGTTTATATATTTCCTTGTCACAATCCTCATGCATCCATACCACTCTTCCATTATCTTAGTCCACAGTCATGCTGAACCAATTACAAGTAGTATCACCCAGTCACCCATATTATCTACAGTAAATGTTACACTGAAAATCCCGACTCACATTTATCGAAATTTGGTACAAACGTTTAAACCTGTGATCAGATCATAGGAACGGGGTCTTATGGAGTAAAAAATAAGGTTTTCTCACTTTATGACCCTCAAAACATAAAAGTCCCAATTTCTCTCAAAATCATTTTGAAGAACTTAAAAATAATAATTAGGTATATCGAAGTGTTTATTTACGGCTATTGTAGGCCTCTCACAACATTTGTACAAGTTTATCGGTGTATCCACCCAAGGCAACGCTAGTTCCGAGGATACAAATCAGCTTAAGTTAAGTTTTCTTGTTTATAATTAAAGATGAAAATAAAATATGATGCAAAAGAACCCAACCAATTCAACCTCTAATCACTGTCTCCAAAAAACACTCTCCAAAATTTCTCAACAATTGAAATATTTTATGTTTCTTAAATGTATATCTTTGCCACAGTAAACGTCATTCAAAAGATTTTCCTCTTTTTACAGCTCAATCCTTTATACTTTAAGTAAACTAGTTTTAGAACATTAAATATATTTTTGATAGCTTCGATAGGAGACTAACTATGTTTTACTGGTAGACTTATCCATTTGTTATTTCAGATGATTTTGAAAGAGCAATGAAAAATGTAGTACGGCTCCAAAAAGGGGAAGAAAACTGTGACCGAGTCCGAAGGGGAACTCAAAGGGAAGGGCCATTTCCGTAATCGCAAGTGGTCCTCTTCAGATGAAGAGTCAGAGAACGAAGATAGGCGCCATGCTACGAAGGTATCCAAGGCTATAGGCCTACCACCTCCGCCACTACAAAATCTACTCTGATGGGTGCTCACTTAGTTGCCAGCACATCATGGGCAACAGTGCTACTACCCCAAGGTCTACTACTGGAAATCCATTACAACCGCTAGTTTTCATAACAATACCATAACTAGTTTTATCCTAGGAAGAGGTAGTTATGGATTACTCGTGGAAGGAAGATATAAAAACAAAATTCATGGCCATAAAAAAAAACATATATATAAATTGTGCGTGCAGTTATCCCCCTCTCCTTTGTTGGGTCATCAACCCAGTCAATTTTTGCAGGGCAGAAACCAAGTGAGAGTCCTTAAGGCCTCAAATTCGCTGACAAACAAAACAGGTCTCGACCATCAACGGAAGGGCAATAAAAAAAAAAATCATGCGGAGGTGCCAGCACGTTGGGAGCTCTAAGGTTTCACCTATTCTGAGTGGAGATGAGTCGGAACCCTAATGACACCAATCGGTTTTTGCAAACCCAACACCGCCGCGTTCCGATTTTTCATCAACCCGAAATAAAACTCCTGGTGTCAAAGGTGGGTAGGCGCTGCAACTGCAGTCAAATTTTGGTTGTTTTAGGGAAATTCACCTGCACTAACCTATTTAACCCTAGTAACCTAATCACACTACCTAGCCCAAGCGCATTCTTTTGGCGGAAGGGGGCGTGTTTGTGCCGTGCGCGTCACTTTTATATATACATACTCAGCGCGTGGGCAACAACTTACTGGCCGAAGCATATATCAGCAGCCAATGGAATAGAGGAAAAAAGGCGATGAGCATACGAGAAATCTCTCTCGTTCGTTTTCGTCTCTTGAACGCGCCTGAATGCTTGCTGACAGCTCCAAATTAAAACATAAGTATTAGTGTCTAAGTAATTGCATTAATTTATCAGGGAACCCAAATTCAATCATGAAGTAGTTTAAGTTCAGTTAGGGGTTGCCGGGGA